TTAGAAGAATAGTTTGGTTTTTGACTCGAAATTGCAAATAACGGTGATATTGGCTGCATTTTTGCTTAACAATTTCCCTTAAAACCTAATGTAGTCATTTTTTCTAAATCATAATTGCTGTTTATCTTGGTATAGAGAGCCTCATTTACCATTAAACTTAGTTGTTCATAGTGTAATCATCCATCTAACACCATATTTTACTGATAGTCACATCTTAGCTCTCACTTTGTATTAAAGTCCTTAACGATATTTGCAACAGAAATGCAATATGCGAATTTCGAGTAATGTCGAGTAACAACTGGCTTTGCGCTTTGGCAAATGCACTGAAATTCATGAATTACGAGCAGAACTCGACACGAATGCCAACGCCATGTCTTCTCGAAAGGTGCTACGTCGCCGAGGGTCTTTTATACGTTAAGCGTAGCGAGATACATCCTAACGGGAGGTGTCAGCAACGCAATCTGTGCACCTTTCCGCGATAATCGTCGGCGTCACGCCCCTAGACACTGCTAGCCGTCTGCGGCACGCCTCAATGCTTCCACTACCCTAGTTCAACTCACTAATGTGATGAATCACATGTTGAACCACCCCAACATCATTCCACTATACTCTCAATTTACTTTACCTGCGCATCGCTATAACTGCTCATCAAAATCGCATTGTGATCTCGTGGGATGAGATGCATGGGCATGTGTCGTGGCAACGGATTGCTGGTCGTCTAGGAAAATACAAGGTGAAACATCGCTAGAAGAATGGATGCTAGGTCCACGACATGTTTCTGAGTTACTGCTATTAATTTGGTAGATACCTCGGAATGAACTTACCAAAGCAATGCTACAACGAGTTTTATAAGAAAAGACTCCGTTGCTACATTGCGTAACGAAAATTGTTCTAGGTGAAACCATATCCGCAACTAGTTATTTTCAATTTGAACTTTCAATTCGAAGCGTGCACTAGAGGTGAAAGGGAAGCGACTAGTTGAGGAGATTTTTTATAATGTGCAATTGTAATTTTAGATAGATTAACGGATTAATCTGTTTTATTTTATGCGTAAATAACCTCAAAAATAATGAGTGATTTTGAGTGATCAAGAGCTTACGTCCTATGTAACTGTACTGTTTGAATTAGAGTAAGTATCATTTATTGCATTCCCTATTAGCAGCGATATTCCATAAGTCCATGCGGATCCTCGTGTCACTCCATATCGCCAAATCTCAACGCGCTGTCATGTCACGCAGTCTCAAGCTTCAGAGAAACCTTTGCTCGTTTCAAACGTTACGATGCAGAAAAATCTTACTCAGTGCTCAACTAAGCCTAGCGCTGGCCAGCATTTCGGAAATGTATTGATTCTGAAACTGAGTTTAGACGACGAGCATCTGATTCACTCATTTGAATGTGCGCGTCAATTGAAGGTAATTTTTAGAAAGCTTTCTCACTGCTCTAAATGCTGGCGTAGATTTTTGCGTTGGCCGACCTAGCAAGAAAATGCACCTTGAGGACCATCATAAACAAGTGGAAGTATTCTCTCTCTCATCTGATTTAGTGTCCGTGAGCAATAAAAACAGCGCTGTCCCTCACTTATCGCGTTAAAGATTCGTATTCGCCTGGTCATCACGAAGTCAGAGGAGAAAGCGACGCGGGGGTTCATTTGGTAATTCGCAACGTTACCTAGTAGTTAATCGCTGAGAGCAAGAAGTAATTTGTGCCGTCTTACCACTTTAACAAGCGCAAAGACGAAATTCATTGTGATTTGAGTCAGTGAGAAAGTGATTTTACTCCTTTTCATAATGCTGTAAAACAACGCTGTTTGACGTTTCGATTACCACGATACCGTAACTACGAAACGTCGTCATATTAAGGTGCGATAATTGAAATAGGATTAGCGCAGCCAGCTTTCCTCGTCTCCACATTAATGTTAAGGTTTGAGCAAAGAAAAGCAGCATGAGCATTACACACTTGTTTGTACATGGTATATTGTGTGTGGCAATTCAACACAACTACTAGCTGTGCGTTTTCAATCAACTATGTTTGTTTATGAGAAACGCTGGAACAGCAACTGATGTTTTGACTTTGCTTGCTCGTATTCTATCGTTTCCACACCTGAATTGTTCCATCATGCCTCACACATTGGTAATAGCCGCGGTATTTGGGAGGGAAACGAAAACATAGGTTTCGAGAGTATGGCAAAAACAACTTTTCGCATAACGCAATAGAGGAAAATCCCACCAGTCATTGGAGTTTGGAATACACGTCTACACTACAAAGCTTTGTGAAATGTTCTTAGAGGTCGAGTTTGCGCTCCACTCCTACCTACGCACATTTTGATGTCTCGAAAAGATGACTCGAGCCCGCGGCGCCGCCGAGGCCTCCGCTTCGCATACTTATGCCCTCATCCACTTGCCAATTGTTAGCGCCTCATTCCCAGTCCGCAATTGCCAGCACTATGCTTCATACAATCACAATGTGTGGTCACTTGTTTTAGAACGGCTACTGCTATCCCACTCTTCTTATTTATGCTGTAAGCACTGCTAAGTCCGTAAATTACCACCACACTGTCGTTCGAGCCGCACTTACCCGGTGGACTACGGTACATCGACAGTTCCGTAAGCACCGAATCTTACCGGGCCGATACATCCACATCGTCTGATTCGATAAATCGCTACCAAGACTCTGCAGACGGATGTATGCTCGGTTCGGAGCCTGAGCCGCCGCTGCTCTCGCGGATCGTCGGAGTACCACCGCCTCCGCCGCCTCGGGCACCTTCGACAGCTTTACTACTACGTCGTCCATCGACGTCCACACCTAAACAGCCACAAAAACAACAACAGCAACCAAAACGTGGCGACCCTAAAAGCAAATACGGCGAGAGCCCGTATAAGGAAGAGCAGGCATATGTTCGCATACATTGTTTTTTCCCCATTTGAAA